TGAGCCCAGACCCCTGTCTGTTTTTTTTTTACGACTGAGCACTAAAACCATAAGAAAATGTTTTTTTTTTTTTTTTTGGTCTTTTTTTTCTTCTTTTGACCTCGCTGAATGTTGGATAAGACCTGTGTTCCAGTGTCTAGATTTTTTATTTTTTATTTTTTTTTACTTTTTAAAACTATAAACAACAACCCAGGTTTACTATTTCAGTATTTGTACATAGATTTAATTATACGTTACGTAATATAATCGTTTTTTCTTTTTTATACGGCAGAACTCTACATTAGTTTCTCTGTACGCGTTTTTAAAAAAGAAAAAAAATCACTCCAAAAATTGACGTGCAATGTTCCAAACAGTGCGTTGACATCAGAGTTGTCAATGTTTTTTCTTTGTTTTTTTTTTGTTTTTTCTTCTTTTTGAAATTGCCAGGCAAGATTAGAAGAACCAAGATGTGCCATATCTGTTCATATGTAATTCTTGATTTAGAACGCCCGCGCCAATCTTCGGAATATCGGTACATTGGAGTTATCTCTCTTTTTAGTTGTTCCCCCGCCCCTTAAAGTGTAAATCCTTCTGATATGCGCACAGGGTGTTGTTCCTTTGTAAAGATAGCCATTTCTTATAATGATACATTTCAATGAATGTGTTTATTATTGTTATCATCATTATAATTATTATTAATACTATTATTATTATTACTTTGTCATCAGGTTTTCTTTTAAGTTATTATTCCACTTCGCCATTAATGTCCATCAACGCATTCTGGCTTGTTTCAACGTATAAATATATGTTATTCTTGTTCATACGTCTTCCTAGGGGTCAATGGTCAAGGGTCGTCCAATCGACCTCTCCTACAAGAACCCCTGCCCTGTTGTATTGACCAGCCTTCCTCTTAAATGATGATTAAATTGTATCTTTTTTTAAAAATTCTCTAAACAAAACTGCGAAATGCTATGACTGCACGGATTACTTATATAGTTTTTAAGAAAAAATTGAAAGAAGTTCACACATTTTTAAGAGATTTTTTTCAGCTTCGCTAGCGTCAGTGTGAGAACTTAAAAGTGTTATAATAATAGATTAGCTTTAATTGTATGTAGGCTATACAATAGTTATAAAAAAGTTTTTTTTTTTTTAAAACAAAAACTTTTACAAATTTGATAAAATTGCATTCTGAATGTACAGTAAATATATGACAACTGTTGGCCTTAGGTTAGACTTTTAAAGTGTAATCAATGCGTAAAAATTGGTAATAGAAGAACAAAACTAAGGTGACCATGGCTAACAATGGAACCAGGCCAACTTAACCAATTTTCGGAGATGCAGACGGCTCGTGTTCGCTCTACCAACACGCTGACTGTGTAATCTGTCAATGACGTCATTGACACTATAAAACTAAACAACTCGCTAGAGTACATCGGTAGGCTACTCGTATTTTCATCTACTAAAATTAGACTATCTCTATCCCTTTACTCTGTACTATATCTAGTTTCTGATATTTAAATAGAATATACTCTATATAATTTATCGATTACATGTTTCAGTGGCGGATTCAGGTTTGGGACTGGGGAAATTTTTGGTCACATCCCATATTGTTATATAAAGAATATATAATTTTAAAAAATTAAATCAAATTCATTAATTTGCACCCCCCCCCCACAATACAAACACGTGTTAGTTTGTTCCCGGATCCGTTCACTTGTCTTTTGCATCTTTATTTACTTCATGTAGTTATATAAAGAAATTTAACCCATAGGATATCATGTATTTATTTTATATTCATTCGAGTTACCTGTTTTTTTAAATATTAATTTTTTTTTTTTGTTTATTTTTGTGTATAGATTTTCAAATTTAGTTTGTGTAAATATTGGGCACATCAAAAGGCATCACTGGGCTGGTCCCGCTGTTTTACTTTCACGGTTAATAGAGCAACCGACACAAATTGAAATCGATATGTATCCAACCGATAAGACCGTCACGAAGCATAGGAAACACATCACATTTGAGAATCGACATAATTAGTTAACATTCATGAAATTTATATTTTAAAACAATGAAAATTCGTTAAAAAAGTATTGGTACAAAAAAATTAAAAAATTATATTCTTTTATAAAATTCAATGTGTCTTGTTCACTAGCTGTGTTACCGTCATAGCCGTAGAGTAAAAAAAACAAAAAAAAATTATACATAGTTGAAAAATTTATATAATTAAAAAAAAAATAATAATTTGCAAGCAACATTTCAGGATTTGATTTCTATGAGATAAGGGTCCCAGGCAGACTAAAAGATGCCAGTGGTGTCTTCACATGAGTATATATAACATGCATTTATAATTTTTTTATATGAACACATCCATTCATTTATACATTTTGACATTACAAGCGTTACCATTTTGTAATTTTAAAAAAAAAAATTTAAAAAAAAAAAAAAAAAAATTGAAAAAAAAAAAGCTATACACTAATTCAAATTTTATTAACTTAAAAAAAAGTTTATGTTTTGGTTTTAATCTAACTTTCTCCCCCCCCCCCCACATACACAGAGCAAAAAAAAAAATTCCTTGATTGACCTTTGGTGACACAAATGTATATTTCTGAAAAGACGGCTAATGAACCGACGCAGTTCTGTGTCACATCAATGAATCTATTCAATATAAT